CTTGTTTTAACATACCTAAATCGTTCTGAAATAAAAAATTATATCTAAAATTTTAGTAAAAAGACATGAGTTTTTTCTTGTTATGCTAGCTATAATTAGCTATATCCAAATAAAAATGGAAATAATCATGTGAAAACTGAAACGACGATCATCATCTGATGATCTATAGTCTGACCAGACTTTTATGATAAAGTCTCGTGACTAGGTGTCTTCATCTTATAGTCTGGCCAGATCGATAAAAATAGAGTAAAATCATTTTTTACTCTTAGTTCATTCAACTATAACATCAAAAACCACTAAATAGTTGATATCCTCAATAGCTTTTTCATTTATATATCTTTAAGTTTTTGCGGTCTTAATAACATGGTTTATTTTTTTATAACTAAGGTGAGTAAGTCCGCCAAGACTTTATGTATTCCCATTTGACCAGATTTTTATCGGTATTATGTTAGAATTTTATATGAGCCCGCAAGTCTCGTAACTGGGTATGAGGCCTTAAACTTTGCGTGATTTTCCGCCTGACCAGTGTTGTCGTCACCGGCGAGTCTGTCGCTAAAACGGCTCACTCTTCGCGTGACGATAATCCGAACGCTTGGATTATGGCACTAAAATAAGGTAAGGCTTTAACTCCGAGGCGGTTACAATTTGGCCGACTTTCGCGCACTTGCTAATCTCTTCTTGACCGTCTTTCCCTCTAGGCGCGTCTCAAGATTACAAGTGTCACTCTCTTACGGTGCAAAAGTAACGTCGCGTCTCTCCTTTTCAAAGGCGTTTACTTTACTGTAGTGGCGCGGACTTAGTTTATACTTTAAAGAATGTATCTTGTTTATTGTGCGAAGCGAAATAGCATTTATTTAATAAAGCGCGAGTGTGCAAAAACAGAGAAGTGTTCTAAAACGAAACTTTTAAGTCTCTGATCTAGAACTTAGAACTTGTCGTTCGAAACTAACTCTAAAACTATCCTATTTATATGCCTTGTTAACGCGTAAACACCCATTATATGCTATTACCAATTATTACATCATTCCATCATCACTGACACTATTATTACGCGACGCGCCACAATATCGCGTTCTCATCCCTATTGTTCCCATAACACCAGACTTTAATGATCTTTACCTGGTCAATCTTATATAATCACGTTTATGCAGAAATGGATATTTTTATATTAAATTACCATATAATGCGCCTAAAGCACAAGAACTCTATTAATACAATACTTATATAATCAATTACCGGTAATGTCGTTAATAGTTAAATATACAATTGATTATTACGTTCAATTCAAACTTGAATTGTTCGGTACTGAGCTGGAAATCCTTTCTTGTGCCTATCTAAAATGGAACTAAAATTAATCTCGCGTTCTAAATAAAAAATCTTAAATTTTTTGATCAAAATTTTTATTATATAAAATATAATATAAGTAACATCCATTATTACTAATTAATATGTTACCTATGCTATATTTTTAAAAAAACCACTCATAAAACTTAAAGAAATAATTTTAATTTAATTAATTAAAACAGATCACGTGAAAACGGCGACATCAATGTCTGCGTTTTCACATAATTGTCAAAATCCAATAAAATTAAACAAATAAAATCTTATACACAATGTTCTTCAATCATTTGCCATGACATGTCGCGAACAAGATTGTGGTTCACGACACCCTTCGATGCTCTCGCGACGATCAGTCACGTAACTAGAGCCGTATTTCAATTTCTTTTGTTACAATATCTTATCCACGTGTTCTTGCGCGTCGGTAGCCTAATGTTCTTTCAAATAAATTATGTATTATTTACAGGTAAGAAATTTGACGTTTTTAATTTAACAATATCGATTCTATGTCAGGATAAAAGTATATGTAAGATCGTATATTTCACATATAGTACTTTTACGTTGAAATAGTAAAATGGATAACTTATTATCCATCAACAGGCGATCACTCAAAGTCTGACCATCATCGATAAACTTAACAATAAAATCGGTTTAGAAACTCCACAGGCACACGCTAAATTGTTTTCATCAATATTATATATTAAAAACATTTTCAAGTCGATTTGGATTAAAATTTAAATTTTCGGATCTTGTGTTTACGAAATACTCTTCTGACGTTTTGAGCCTGCTAAAGGTAAGTTTCAATTTTGGCTCGTTCTCCAGGTGTAATTAATGTTCCCTATGAAATCTAAATACGTCTTCCAACGGTTAACAAATATTTGATTAATTCACATTAATCAAATTATATTATATTTTAGTGATACGTACAAATTTTCCATGTACACTAATTTTAAGTTTGTGCGCTTTAGTAAACTAAACTTCATTTATTTTATAAGAATAATTGTAATATAATTAAAAAGCTAATTTAGCGATTAAATCTTTTTATAAAAATTTACAAATACGAAATATTTTATCCCAAATTTTTTTACCTAGAATAATCTTGTAAGCTTTGTAACCCAACCCATATTATTCATAAATTCATCCATAACTTATTTCCTAGTTACCCTTACCACGTACGTAATAGATTAAAAACCCTAATAAAACACACCACCACATCAATTTCTTATACTGTACCACATTATTTCCGAATTTTTTTGGAACGTCGGAAAATTCCAATTTTATACCTTCGTTATTTAAGGTTGAAAAGAGACCCAATAAATCTTTAAGACTTTGATCCCTTTTATTTTTATTATATTGTTGAATATATTCATCATCATCTTTGTCAAAAGGAAAATCAACGCCAATTACTGGATAATTTCCAAAATTTTTTCTTATTACTTCCATGTTATCCTCAATCCAATTTTCTTTGCAATGGGTAATTATAATTATGAAATTTTTTTCCCCGGAATTAAACATCTTTCTAAATTCTTCAAAGTTTTTACGATCATATTCGGTGAATCTTTCCTTCTTTTTAACGTAGCAAATAAAATTGACTGGCACCTTATTTTCATGGAAACAAACTCTAATATTTTGAATGATCTTATTACGTTCGTAAGTTTCTACAAATTCCTCACAGAATCCAGTTATATTGAATATTTTAAATTTTTCATTATAGCAATATGTTATATTAGGAGCCAATTCAGTTGCAGTGTCCTTGACTATAGACAAATTTGCCCCATAAGAGTCGCCTTTAAGAAGCATATTAGTAATAGTAGATTTTCCCTGTCCGGAGGGTCCAAAAAAAACAAAGTTATAATGACGTTCCATAATCGATAAATGTTGTGAATAAAGTCGTGTTGGGTTTGCAGTGAACCAAATCGTTTTATAAACATCTGATGTTTTACTTGCTCTGATGATCTGAAATAATTTTAGAATTACGCCTAAAAATAAATTGGCGGAAGCAGTGAACCAAATCGTTTTATAAACATCTGATGTTTTACTTGCTCTGATGATCTGAAATAATCTTAGAATTACGCCTAAAAATAAATTGGCGGAAATTGATAAATTTGGTCAAAATCATGTGATTGGGTAATAATAGTGATAGTGATATTTAAAAATATATAAAAATTATTTATCTTTAAATTTAATTTCTTTACAATTAATAATTTTACATCTAAAACTATTCTTAAAATAGTTAAATGAATTCAATAATTAATTTATAATCATAAAAATATAACTTTATTTTGTAAGTATTATATTTCTTACAATAAGAAAAACAAACTGATTCAAAAAGTATTACACATCATTCTATATTAACTAAATATAAAATTTCTAAAAATTATATTCATACAATAAATTCATAATAAAAATTTTATCAAAAACACCAATAATCTTAAATCAAGTTATTATTTAATAAATAATAACCTTTAAATGATATTCCTTCTGTTACACAAATTATCTTTATTGAATAAATTATAAACTCCGCTAAACCGCAAACTTCGATTTTCGAATATTCTATGTGAACAGGTGCTGCACGAAGAACATCCCACCTTGTCACTTATTTTTGGTAAAAAATCTCTGCTTATTTATTTCGTACGATCAAAGTCGCGAGACTTTATAATTCAGAAATAGAGATCTGCATCACGCAACATCTATTTATAGCATCGAGTCTAAAATTGTCTTTAACACTCGATTTTTTTTTAACACTGTATTGTTCCATTATTGAAACCAATTAGATTATTAATTAATTATAGCAAAAATCAATATATAAAGCGGTTAAACCAACCAAATCATTTAAATAATAAATTTAAAACAGTTTGATAATGGAGCAGACAACAAATGTAATTTTATTTGGAGCCACCGGATGTGGAAAGTCCACAATTGCTAATATGCTGTATAAAGGTAAAATTTATGAAAATGATAATGAATTCGAAATTAATGATGGAGGAAAAGGATGTACTCCGGATGTCACATTTAAATTTAATGAAGAATTTGGAATATTTGATACAGTTGGGTTAGGGGAACCAAAAGGTGGTACTGTTGAAAATAAAAAGGCGGTTGGATTTATAAGAGATCGACTTTCATACCTTCGTTTTCCGATCCACTATATCTGCTACGTCAAAAGCCAGGGTAGATTTACTAATTCCGACAGTGAATATTTTGAAGAATTTAAAGAAATATTTAAGTATGAGGAAAAAAGAATTATAATTATAATTACTCATTGCAAAAGAAATTGGATTCAGGAAAACATAGAAGCAATAAGAAAAAATTTTGGAAATTATCCAGTAATTGGCGTTGATTTTCCTTTTGACAATGCTGATGATGAATATATTCAAAAATATTATAAAAATAAAAGGGAACAAAGTCTTAAAGATTTATTGGGTCTTTTTTCAACCTTAAATAATGAAGGTATAAAATTGCAAATTCTTAGCTCTTCTGATGTAAACGAGCATAAAGTACAAAAATATATTCGTTTTATACCGGTAATCGGCGCGACTTACACAATATATTCTTCGGGTGTCTATTTTATCAAAGGAAATAAAAGAGTTGCAGGCGAACGCATTCGTGAAGGACTTATTAGCGGTTTTGCCGATGAAGCAGGTTTATATCCAATAAGATTAGTTTATAATATTTTCCGAAATTAAAAAGATTGGAATGAGAATAATTTTTTATTACAATTTATTTTACCATTTATCGTTACTTTAAATTTTTAAATTTTTATGTTTAACATGTAATCCAAAAATCCATGCAATATAATTCTTTTAAAATCCATTATAATCGTCAGAAGTTGCTGTCAAATGCTTTTATGAGAATGGTCGCCGGACATCGGGTTAAATGTAATAATTTAATCAAGTCTGACCTGAGTATAAAGCAAAGTACTAATTTTTTTATGTTAATGCATATTATCATTAATTCCAAATTCGATAGAATACGACATACATTTTCAATTTGTCTTGTAAAATTTAAATTCACATTTCAGCCACAAGATTAAAGTCTGGCCAGACCAAAGATCACAAGTCTGACCAGACCAAAGATTATAAGTTTAACTAGACCGGGAATCAAAAATAAAATATTCATTAAAAAAAACAGTTTTATTCGTAAAAATTAAATTTACAGTTCGTAATTGCAGTTTTCTCTACAAAAATATTCTCTAATAAATTATTAAAAATTGCCATAGTATATCTACGTTTAAATTTTGGGTAAATAGAACGCTACATTTAACCCGATGTCCAGCAACCATTCTCGTAAAAGCTTGGATTACTCCCAAGTATTTGAAACAGCTTCTGACGATTACAATAGATTTCTCAGAAGTCTTAAATGATGATGAAAGCCTTTTACAATCCCCTGTGTTTGATGTAAAATAGAATTAAATAGCAACCACGTGAAAACGGCGACTTCGATGTCGCTGTTTTCACGCGAACAAATAGAATTTCTTGACCATGACGTACAGTGAGTCATCAAAAAGATCCGGTCACTTTTAAATAGTAAAATTTTTTAACTTAAAAAAATAAAAATCCAAAAATTTTTTTATTTTTTTATTTATTAACCTTCTATCTATAATTTTTATTATTAATATTTCGTATGATATCCATTCGCGGCAATGACTGCATTGACTCGATCGGGCATGCTGTCAATCAGTCTTTGATAATATTCGAATGGAAGATCTCTCCATGCACGTTTCACATATTTTTTTAATTTTTTAAGGTTTGACGGGGCAGGAGATTTTTTACGAATTGCCTCTTTCATTTTATACCATAAATTCTTTATAGGATTCAGGTCGGGGCTCTGGGGGGGCCATGATAATTTTTTGATTCCGTGAGCTTCGCAAATGGCTGTGGCGACTTTCGACTTGTGCGACGTTGCATTATCCTCCTGAAAAATACTACAGCGTGAAAAAATTTTTTGCATGGTGGGTACGACATATTTTTTAACAGTTTTAGCATGTGCAGCACCAGTAACCGATCCATAGAGAGGAACAATAGGACCTAAGTCACCATAAGTGAAGCACCTCCAGAACATTAGGCTTGGACTGTGTTTCGCTGAAGCAGAAATACAGGATAGCTTAAGTTCTTCATTTGCTTCTCGCCAAATTCGATCACTACATTGGAATAGGGTAAATATGGATTTGTCTGAGAATAAAATTCTTTTCCATTGCCAGGGTTTCCAGTGTTTATGTTGGAGGGCGAATTCTAAACGTTTTTCGCTGTTCGTTTCAGAGATATATGGTTTCGGGCGGGGCCTGCAAGATCGAAGTCCTATTTTTTTTAGATTCCATCTAATATTGATGGTAGAGATAATTTTTTTAGTACGTGCTGACCAGACATTTCTAATTTTTATGGCAGACAAACGGCGATTATTTTCTTCGTCGTTCGTGATGAGATCCTTGAGTTGGACTTGATCAAGAGAGGTAAGAAGCGGGGGTCTGCCTGGTGATTTGTTCGGAACGACTGTTCCAGTTTTTTTAGAGTGTTTAATGATGTCGTTAACCGTACTTTTTCCACATCCTAGCCTGCTGGCAATAGTTCGACTTGTATCGCCTCGAGCATGCCCGTATAAGATCGCGCCACGCTGATCCAAGGACAAAGGTTTACCCATATTATAGCTATCACGTTTATGGTCAAATCACGAGTTTATTTAATGTAAATAAAAGAAAAAAACCTGTATTATATATATATTAAAAAAAAAATTTAAAAAATTTAAAAAAATAAATTGGCCGGACCTTTTTGATGACCCACTGTACGTATAAATTAGCATCGTGTGTAGCAGATGTATATTATCATTTCTTAGAAACCATAAATATAAATAACCCCATCTTTATGTTTTATCTTTTGGTCAGAATTTGATCACTGCTCAATTCGGACAAAGTTGTAAAAAAAATCTCGCACCCTTTATAGTTTGGTGTAATTGATCGTGATTTTTTATTGTTAATAATTTATATACTATATAACATTTTACGTACGAGTTCTAAATACAAGCTCTAATATAATCTTATGACTAAAATCAGAATATACGTCCGTCAAAAGTGAATTCATGCAGGTATAGATAAAAAAGGTTCAAATAATTAATAAAAAATCGGGATCTTGTCAATAATAACATATTTATAAGATCTAAATTATTGATATTATAAAATAAAAATAAAGTTACGGAAACAAAATAGACCAAATAAAAGAACTTAATCCAGAACCAAACCCCAAAGAGAACGTGAAAAGCTCAAAGAAGAATTGCTTCGAATAATCCTCACTAACATTCTGAGCTACAGAGAGCAATTAAGGGTAGAATAAAAGGTAGTAATTTAGTAGAAACAGTACCCAATTACTTTTAATCGCCCCCTGTGGGTAAGAGCTCGCAAGAACCTATCCAATAGCACCAATTCCCCATTATCGAAGGACGAAATGTCTAACCGTGATATTAGAACACCAACTTATCCAAGGAGCACGCCTCTTCAGGATACTATTTGAAAATCGTATTAATAACATTTATTTTAAAATTATTCATAATGTAATTTCAAAAAATAATTTACTGACCTAAAATAATGAGGCACAATTCACGTAATTTATAACAAATAAGATGCAGAGACCAAAATTATGTAACCTGAATAAAAAAGTGTTAATTATTAGCAAAATATTATCGTAAAAAGATTAAAAAAATTAACTTATCGATTGAATTCATCAAATGTTGTCTAATGTCACATTGAATGTGCCTCTGGACATTGCTACTTGAACTTAGTGTTCCAATAATCACGGGTACACATTTCATTTCGCGATAAGAGGGAGGTGCTATAAGATAAGATCTTGCCCCTGAACTAAACAGATTCTCTTATGGGTCAGTGCTAGATTACGCTAATTTAATCAATTATTTTGTTCCGTAACCATTTGACATTTGTCGTAAATAATTCAAATTAAATTATTACAAATCTATCAAGGAATCTCTTGATAGATATTAGAACTACGTCCATAGGAAAAAGGTGTAAAAGAAGGTGGATCCAGATAAAGTAATGCAGGGTCAATGACACCGAATTCTAGAGAATTGGGATAATATAATGGTTCAAAGCCTAAAAGTGATAACTGATTTATATAGGGTGGATTTTCGTTGGTAATATTTGTCGGATCAACTGATTCCATGTTTAACACAATTTCTCCTGATGGATCCGAAGAAAAAAAGCTTGGTTCAATTACGTCATAATTAAGACCTGGGAGATTTGGATAGAAATCGGTCTCAAACGTAAACGACTGCTCTACGGGCCTTACGTATTGCGCATTATCAAAAGGTACTGTGAATTGAAGATAATTGAGAGATATGTTGTCATCATAAGTTGTAAACTCGGGATATGCATCAAGTCCCGTGAAATGTTGATCCCAATATTTGCTCGCTGAAGTGGATACAGAATTTTTGCAAGTGCTGTCATTGATGGTTGAAGAAATTGTCTCAGAAAAAGTATCCAAAGTTATATTTGAATGTCTCTGTTTATCAGCTTTGCGTGGTGAGTTTGAGTATGGAGTGGTTCGATTAATAATCTTTCGCCTGTTTCGAACATTAACTGCTGATGATCGAGCAGTAGGTCTATGCGTAGACTTAGTGATTGAAGATGAAGGAACAACTGTTTCGGATGAAATGTTCAAATGCTGACTTGGAATGATGGGAGTTGACGAAAGCTTGCTTCGTAATATTTGTAAGATTTGAATTTCTAAAAGCATAAGGAGCAGCCTTCTCTCTACGAGACCTTCTTTTTTTCTTTCTTTCATTATCAGCAGTATCAATTCTCCTTTCTGGACAATATTTATAATTTGGATAGTTGCAAGAATGCAATCTCTTACAAACATCCGCTAAATCCATCCAAAATTGTTTTTCATTACTAGAAATTCCATTCCATCTATTCGACGCAATAATGGAAGAATCACCGACTGATAAAGATTAATTGGCTTTATAAAACTCTTTTGACACGTCCTTTCGAAAAAGCATAAAAGCATTTTGTGGATGTGGGATGCTTTTAGCTCTACTCGTTTTGAATGGTATCCACAATTCGCGAAGATTCAAAGTGGTTTTAATATTAGGGTATTTGTTAATAATATCTCTGACCATTGTTCGAATTTCATCGGCCTCGCAACTAAGATCAATGATTTGTTCTTGGTCACCAACAAATATTTTATTTGACTCTCTTAAATCTTCCAAAATGTAAACATCAATAGATGGAACCTTTTCTTGTCAAAGTAATTGTTGACTCATGTTTCTCTCAAGTAATATCTGAAGTTTATTTTTTAAGAAATTTTTTGTATATTTATAAAAATTCTGTAAAAACAAAAAAATATGAACTTTTAATATGTTAATTAAATATCACTGATGTTTGTTTGTTCTTTTCACATAAAATAGAAATATTAAAATCATAACAATATGTTTTAAGGAAGAGAACACCACATAAATATTTCACATTTCTAATGACACGACAGGAGATAACTAATTTAGCTATTATTACTAGTGAAGTCCCATACAGATAAGCTTAAACTTATACATAAAGCAAATTTGTATAATATTTATCTACATATACTGTACTGACGCGTAAACCTACAATACCGAAATTTAACAAAGATCACTATTAACTTTACGTTGCATGCATGCATATTTATTATACGATCGAAACTTGCTATGGTATATAAAAATACAATAAAGATCTATAATATTGGAGTTCTAAATAAATTCTATAATAACTCCTACTGTGACCTAATAATATAATAATAATATATATTGCCAAAAAAGTACGTACGAGTACGAATGTGTTAAATTTATATGGTATAACTAAATAAATCCTACTTAATAAATAATTCCCTGCTTTGCAGAATATTTTTTATTCGTGTTAATTTTGCTACCCACAAAAAAGGATTCAAAAAGAAAAAAACCAATGTTTTATTCAATGACTCGCAATTAGACGTATTGGTCTCTTTAGTATGAGACCTCATAAAGAAATAGGTTGGATTATGAAACTGAAAAATTACACTTAAAAGACCAACTATTCCTTTGAATTATGCAAGTAAATGATTTTTTTAATTTTACATTTTCTTATAAATTGACAAATAACACGTGAGCGGAAAAACCTGTCATATGATAACTACATAATACAGTAGATCAGTAACGCAACTAGCAATTGATAAATAGATAATTAAAATTAACAATTATGAATTGACTAATTTGTGACATGAAAATTATGAATAGAAAATTTTTCTAAAAAAAAATTTTTTTTTTCCAGAAAAACTAGTAATCGCATAAATTAGATAGTGGTGAATTGACAATTAAAATTAGTCTATTTGATATCAATTGATAATTAAAAGCTTAGAGACAATAATGAATTGACAATTGAAAAAGTAAAAAATCGATATATTAATAAAAAGGTCGTTAATTTGATAACTAAATTAAACTTCAAGTTAAAAGATTCAATAAATTAAAAAATGCTTACATCACCAAATGAATTAGACGACGAAATCTTATTGGATGTACTAAAAACTCGATTCGTTCGACAAAAAATTGATAGAACAATATACAATCTTCCAGAGAACGGGATCATAAAAGAAAGTGAAATTTTGACAGATCCGCGTTTAATCGATATAGTCACAAGGTGTAATAAATTATTGAATAATTATGAAAATTCGCAAAAAGAGAATGATAACATTCCAGCAGCCTTACTTGGAGCCGTATATATAGCGCTAATGAGTAAGAGATACATAAGTCGCAAAAATATTGCAATTACAATCAAGTACCCAAATAATAAATCAACAAAATGGATATTATACCTTAAGAAAGAGAAAGATGTGACAATAAGTCAAAAACCACTCAATGAAAAATCTTAGATAACGAATAAATTCAATATTCAGATAAAGTCATCGGATCCAAAATGCTTTAAATTCTTTCTTTATTTGACTTATTACAACAATGAAAATGTTAATTCGATTGTAGATTCTTGAGCAAGTTTTACTACTTGGAACGAAGAAGATCTCATTCAAACTCTCGATAATTATTACTCAACTGCAACAACAAATGAAGACAAATTGAAACGCATTGTTTATATTTTCACACAAAAAAAAGTGGCAACAGTTAAAATGAATTACGAGAACATTCCAAAATACTTAATATTAGGATCAATTTTAAATAACTGGAAATTTAAGTCATTTAAAAGAAAACCTGATTTCAATGCAATAAGTGCAATAATTTATAACAGAGAAACAAAATCGTTAAATAAAGATTTTAAAAAGGGCTTCAATAAAATGAAAAATAAGATCGAATCAATTGAATCCGAAATATTAAATCTGACAAATGAATTAATAGATCGTGACGACAGAGACGATCCTATTCACTCAAAACACTTCAACAATTCTTGGGCTTATTTTAGAAATATTATAACAATTTTGATTACAATTTTCATATATTTCAAAGCTTTTAGACCAATATTATTAGTTGCAAATTTCACGGATAAAGATAAATATTGGCAAGAATTTAAATTAGGAGACTTTGAAAAATTAAAAAAACTATTAGAAAAGAATCCCGGACTTTATCAAAGAATAAGAAATTTAAATAATAAATATCGAAACATCATTTTAAATAGATTAAAGGAATATACAGAGAAACTCAATATGCTTACTGGAACTTTGAAGAAAGATATTGACCTTGATGAGTCTATATTTTATGATGATCATCATGTGAGCGAAGAAAGAAGTACGCCAATAAATAATACCACAGAACCAATGGCAATGGAATTAGACAATGATACTAGACCTTTATATAATAGGCCTTTGAACCCAATTCTTCGAGAATCTTAAAACACAATAATCAAAGAGAACATACTCTTATCCAAACAAATTTTGTACTTTAGATCGCAACAATTCAGGACTCATAGAACGTAGCAATCAGAAAGAAAAATCTTCCACATGAGATATTTCTAATTTTCTGCTAGTTAATGTTGGAGAAACATATTTAAAATATTATAAAAGAATCAATATGCTGCAATTTAAAAATGATGTTGAAAAAGAAATAGAAAAAATATTAGAAGAAGAAAAAAATTTAAAAATAATCCCAGTAGAAACTATTGTTGTCTTTATTAAACGTAATTGCTTGGAATTTTCCAAATTGGATTTAGCATTACACAAGGAAAAAATTCAAAATAGTAATAATTTGACTATTGAAATTAGAATGAAATTTGAGAACTTATTTAGACAATTACACAATCAAGTAACAAAGAATATTGAAAACAGATTAGTATGATAAGTGAAGCAAAAGTTCAAATTCGTAGAAAATATACTAAATTGGCTTTTTTAAACCAAAATGAATTCCAAGAACTTATGACTAGAGCAGTATGGAAGATATTTACTCATTCTCGTGAAGAACAACTTTTGATAAAATATAGAAACATCTTTGATCAACCAATGGAAAGTATATTGCAAATTATATTACAATTAGAAAAAAATTATAATGAAAATTCTAGTCAGTTTGAAAGCTTATCAAAAGATCTACTTAATAAAGAATCACTCAAAATACCAGCTAGCTTAACTATCCCTCCTCTTGTTGAGATTCAGATGCTTGAAAGCCTTGCCTTGATAGCAACTTCAGTTACCTCGAATGAAAAGCAATTTCTAAAAGGTTCAAGTATCTATAATTCCAATGCATCTAGTAGACTTCCAAGTCCTCCATTAGTTAATGAAAAAGAAGAATTGAACACCCATGTAGACTATAATTAATATCAATGACTACATATTATTTAGCTTAATATATTGTATTGTTCCTATTTTTTATTGATATTAAAAAAATTTCAATAAATGTTATATATATTAATTAAAAATTAAATATTTTATATTCTAATTATACTGATTATATTAATATTTAAAGGATGCAATTATTTTAAAAAATCTATACAGTGATGCAAAAAAAAATGACAATTTTCTTTTATTTATAAAAATTATATTATGAAAATTTTTCATTAAATTAATATTTAGTTAAAAACAAATTGTTTGATGTTTTAAAATAACAATACTATTTTTTTATTATTACCAGAAATAGATATGATTTTATTTAAAATTTTTTTAAAAAATTATTTTTTATTAAATCCAAATATTTAGAAGTCAGTAAATTAAAAATAAATTAATTTTTTGAATTTTTTGTTTTTTTTAGTTTTGTATAAAAAAATTATTATATATAATTATTGTATCATTATTTTTATAAATATTTTAAGAAATTCTTTCCGCTGATCCTCTGACCACACACAAAAAAAATGTTCACAAGAAGTTTTATACTTTTATGTTAATAAAGTCTTAATACTTTCTTTTAAACAACTTGAAGGGTAACTTCAAGATATCACCCACACTTCCCTTTACTTGTTTATATTCCTTTCCAAATAAAACTTGACTTCCGGTAACCTAGTAAAGTCAAAATACACCTTTTCTACCTACGGCAAGAAAGTTCTAAAAGAAAGAAAAACTAATGTGAAGTACTGGTAAACCCTCTTTACTGAAGCAGTGGTATGTATAGAGGTCTTCTGCAGTGGAAGGACAGACTAAACATCAAAGCCCAAAACTTATGTGCCTATCCACTGTCTATACCTCTTA